GCCGACCCCAGCCGACCCCGGCGCGTTAGGTTAGGTTAGGTTAGGTTAGGTTAGGTTAGGTCGGGTTAGGTTAGGTTAGGCGCGGTTCTGCCGGGGACGGAGAAAAAAAAAAAAAAATAAAATTGAAAATTAAAAAAAAAAATTAATTTTGGCCAAAACCCGGCGCGTTAGGTCGGGTCAGTCGCGGTTCTGCCGGGGACGGAGAAAAAAAAAAAAAAAAAAATTGAAAATTAAAAAAAAAAATTAATTTTGGCCAAAACCCGGCGCGATAGGTCGGGTCAGTCGCGGTTCTGCCGGGGACGGAGAAAAAAAAAAAAAAAAAAAAATTGAAAATTAAAAAAAAAAATAAATTTTGGCCAAAACCCGGCGCGATAGGTCGGGTCAGTCGCGGTTCTGCCGGGGACGGAGGAGAAAAAGCGAAAAAAACGCGGTCGGCGACGGAGCGCGCGGCATCGCGGCACCGCGGACCGTGCGTTCGCGATGCCGCGCGACCGTCCCGCCGCACGGCAAGACGGGCGCGCGAATGGATCGACGAGATTCTCACTGTCCCTATCTCGTCCGTAGCGGTCGGGTCGCGTTAGGTTAGTGCGTAGCGGTTCTGCCAGTTTCGGTCGGCGTAGCGGTTCTGCCGCATCGGTCGGCGTAGCGGCACCGTTGTCGATTTCGTCTTTCGTCCTGTCTGGTGGTNAAAGCCACGGGCGATTTTTCAGTCGACGACTGCGCGGTCGTCGGCGTGCGTGTTCGTGCCGTTCCCACGGTGTTATCGCGGCGTCGCGCGTGGGTCGGTCACCGCCTAGTCGCGGTGTCCGGCTCCCGCGTTTCGTTTCCGCGACGGCCCGTGCGCGAACCGCGTGCGTTCCCGCCCGCCGGCGTCCCGCGTCCGTCGTGATCAAACGACCGACCTGTCGACCCATTCGCAAATGACAAAGTGGCGCCTCTCGCATGATATTTATACGGTATTACGCCGTATTTTTATTATTATATATTATTATTTTATTTTATACACGATGACGACTCCTCGTACCGTTTCGCCAACGCACGAGCACTCGAAGCCCAGACAGTCCCGACGCGGCCGGTCACAGCGCCGGCCCGTCGGACACCTCGGGAAAACAAAAACCCAAACCCCGGGACGGCGGACTTCGCGCCTCGTCTCGGTTTTCCCGTCGCTTCTCTAGGCTGGGGACTATTATTGTACGATTATATTAACGAGATAATCGGCGTGCGGCGCCGTTCTCCTTCCGTGTGTCACCGCGCTCGCGACGCGCCGTCGGTTCTCGACGGCGCGGCCGCGGACCGGCGCACCGCATACGGGGAGAGAGCGCCGCCGTACGCGACTCCGTGTCGCAGTACACGCGAGAAAGACCGCGGTCGGTCGCGTTCCGCGCGGCGTCCACAGCGGCGCCTCGCTCGCGACCGCCCCCGCGGCGTCGGTCCGTCCGCCTCGGCGGGCGGACCTTCGCTCGGACCGACAGCGCCCGGGCGCGCGTCTCGCGCGCCCGGCGTGTATCACACCGAGTTCCCTGGTTGATCCTGCCAGTAGTCATATGCTTGTCTCAAAGATTAAGCCATGCATGTCTCAGTGCAAGCCACATTAAGGTGAAACCGCGAAAGGCTCATTAAATCAGTTGTGGTTCCTTAGATCGTACGTGGTTACTTGGATAACTGTGGTAATTCTAGAGCTAATACATGCCTATAGAGTTCAGACCGTCGTTCCGCTCTCGGGCGGCGCGTGCGGTAGGGACGCTTTTATTAGATCAAAACCGGCCCGTCGCGGCGCGCCTCGCGCGCGTCTCGATCGTGGCCCGCGCAAAGACCTGGTGACTCTGAATAACTTTTAGCTGATCGCACGGTCTCCGTACCGGCGACGCATCTTTCAAATGTCTGCCTTATCAACTGTCGACGGTAGATTCAATGCCTACCGTGGTGGTAACGGGTAACGGGGAATCAGGGTTCGATTCCGGAGAGGGAGCCTGAGAAACGGCTACCACATCCAAGGAAGGCAGCAGGCGCGCAAATTACCCACTCCCGGAACGGGGAGGTAGTGACGAAAAATAACGATACGGGACTCATCCGAGGCCCCGTAATCGGAATGAGAACACTTTAAAACCTTTAAACGAGGATCAATTGGAGGGCAAGTCTGGTGCCAGCAGCCGCGGTAATTCCAGCTCCAATAGCGTATATTAAAGTTGTTGCGGTTAAAAAGCTCGTAGTCGGATCTGTGTCTGGGCGGTGCCGGACCACCCTCGCGGCCGGTCGTCTCGGGGTGTTAGTTACCGGCACGTCGGCCGGACGTATTGTCGGCAGGCGGACACGCGTCCCGGATCCTCGTACGTGCCGTCCGACCACGCGTCGTGGCGGTCGTCGGGGGCCGCTGACGGCGGCCGCCTACTCCAATCTTGCTGTGCGGTGCTCTTCACCGAGTGCCGTCGGCGGGCCGACACGTTTACTTTGAACAAATTAGAGTGCTCAAAGCAGGCTAAAATCTGACGGTGCGGCCTCG